TAAGCTAGTTTGTCATTGTATCTTACTGTTTTATTGTTGTTATGCTTTTTAATTAAGAATAACAATGAATCCATCTTTTGTTTTAGTCTTAAAAAGTGAAAGGTGTGTAGATCAAAAAACGGACCGAATTAGCATGCCCTGCTGTAAATTTTGACCGGTTGATGAAAAACAAGCTTATGTGGATTCTACACATTTAAACTAAGGTATCTAGTATTATTTATGGAGCAGATAAATACATATAATCATTTATTAATCAATTATCATTTTGACTTGACCCTTTTCTTTATTTAAAAAAAATGGACCGAATTTTACCATTTATGAAACTTTTTCAAAGCTTTATTTGAACATTTACATTAGATATTTGAACATGCTATTAGATAAAACTGTTGTCAGTCATGTTGTCATTTAAAATCCAGACATCATTGGCAATGTTATTGTTTTAGTTATGCAAACAAAAACTAATTGTATTTGTCGTTTGTTGAATTTAAATGTAAAACTTGGTGAAATGATTTGTGTGTCAGTACTTTTTGAACATTTCCAGCACATTTTAACAATACCGTGATAATACTGATTACCGTGAAAAATTTGGTCACTATAATCGTGATTAGAAATTTTCATACCGTTACATCCCTAGTGACATTAAAACACATTTTAGGCTTAATATTAAGAAATATGCATTGTGCCCAAGTAGTACTCCAAATAAAGTTTAATTAAACTTTTTGTATCAGTAAGTATCGAGCAATATGTCAGTAAATATGTTAATAGATTTGAACTATACTTAGTATGAAATAAATTTATTTTAAATATATTTATTTTTACTAGGGCATGCAGACATACATACATACAGACATGCATAAATAATAAATAAATGTTTTATAAAATTATGGTGTCAGTTTAGAGCTGGATATGGCAAACTACCGTACCTAAGCATGTGATATAGATCAAAATGTTACAATTCAGCATGTCAGAGAGAGAGAGAGATCTGTGGTGTCAGTTTCAATCTCTCTTGTGCGGTTTACTTCTCATAGGAGCTCTGACCGCACAGAGAAACAACAATTTCCCAAAGGCAGCTTTGTATTCCCTGTTATCAGAGTGAGAGACCATCAACACTTATACAAATAGATCTAATTTCAAACATTTAACTCAAATAACAAACTCAAATTATTGAATTACGCAATTATTTGTAATTATCATGTCAGCATATATTAAAATATGACTCTGAAAAGAAGGAAAGCCGCTGCTAATTTTGCTTTCAGACAAAAAAACTGAAGACAAAGATCAGACAGACGTCTGACCTGCTTTATCTGGTGCTCAAAAAAGAAACTGATACTATCACGTCCTATTTGGTGGCCAAAACCATTCGTCAGAGATCTGCAAACTGTCCCTGCAGGGGGCCGAGGTCAACATTCGTCCTAGCAGCGGTCAAAAACAGTGAACATGGTGGGATGTTGCTGGATCATACGCACTCCGCTACACTCCAGCAGAGGGAGAGCAGGTGGAAAAGCAGCATGGCTGGTAAATATTTGATGGTGCTGCAAGCCGTTTGAAGTCACACTATACTGAGCTCATCGCCTGGGCAGATCCATTAGTGAAACCTACGGCCACCGTGCCTAAAATTATGTAGCCCACCATCAAGCTGTGCTAACAGCACGCACACGCTGCTAACTTGATTGGCTGAGTCCCAAAAAGAGTCAATAAAGTGTAACACTGGCACAAATTCTAAGTAGATATTGGATGTTTTGATGCACTGTAGCGCTTCAGTGCTGAGAAGCGCTATGACAGGGGGTCTCTGTGTAGTATGGGGCTAGCTAACATTGCCAAGGCCGGCATGCGGGCAGCTGCAGAGCCAGAGTATGAAGAGCTTTGTTAATAATTCAGACTCCATCAGCCATGCAGGACACGAGGTGCCAACGGTCACTGATGAATGAACATAAATCCACACTGCTTTGTGTGTGAATGAGTGTGTGTGTGAAAGGTCTTTCTTTCTTATTCTGATCAAATGGCACTGTCATTGACAAGTAAGTATGTGTGCATCAAATGGCAATAAATAAATAAATAAAATCACAATTCACCTCTTCTGCCCTATGTGAAAAACAAATATACTCAAATGTATTTGAAATACATTTGTTTAATGCTCAGTATACAACAAATACATTTACGTTACTAGGCTACTTAATAAAAATACCTTGCAATTGTACTTTTAGTATACTAAACTGGTATACTTAAAGTCTAAGTCTGCTAAACTGGAACAACTAATTTTGTACTTAATGCACTTTAAAGGTGACATATCATGAAAATCTGACTTTTCCAGGTTT